TACGTATTTGTACATTGTGTTTGACTTGTTAAAATTTTTAAGTCAATCTTCAATTAATAGAAGTATTATAAATACATAATATGTAAAAATATTTCTACATATTTAATGTAATATATACGAGATAATATCAATCATAACGAATAGTAAAAAAATTCTATATAATATATTGAAATACAAAATTTAATTTTATCAATTTTCTTTATTAATAAAAGGTTTATTAAACTTTATAAAAAAATAATAATATTAAATATATATTTTCGTTTTTGCGCTTTAGTATTTAATAGATTACTTTTTTCTTTATTATATTCATCCTATTATATTGGAAGAAAAAAAAATAAAAATATATAAATATCTTATTCATATATAATTTCCATATAAATTATTACACATATAAAATATTTAATTATTTATTTTTAGAATTTTGCAATATTTAACGATAATTATTTGAATTTATCAATTTGTCTATAGATAGAATCTATTTAATTAAAATGTGATAATATAAAATCTTAACTTGGAAATTATAACATCGGTATTTTCAAATTATTATATAAATTACTTTTTTGTCTTCCAATTAGCATTAATTTTATTTAAATTATTTAATTTAATTTATTTATTTATTTCTATTAAATATTAATTGTTTTGTTATCTATTATTTAATGAATTGAAACGGAATGTTCAAATATTTTTTTAAGATATCTGTTTCAAAGAACTTTTTCAAGAACACATTTCATTAGAATTTATTGATTCTAAGTTATTGATATAAAATTGTCGTGCATCTACACAACAGCAATTGATAATGTTATCTTATAAATAATGTATTTGATAATTTATGTCAATTCGCAAAAAAAAAAAACAATAAAAACTAATACTTTACAAACTATTACTTCATACAAATAAAAGCGAATGAAGATTGCGAAATGGGAAGAAAAATAATGCAAGTGTGTTTAAACTAAATAAACACTGTTAAAATCCGAGCTTTTGCGAAATATTTACTTTTACGATGTCTAAAAGACGTGTGTCCTATTTGAAATTAAAATAGTACATCTTACATAAAAGAGACTAATATTTAATGTTTTTCAAACCGATATTTTCGTATAGTTCAATAAATTATATTTATTGTCTTCCTTCCATTTTTGTTTAAAAATTTTTCAGCAATCATACTGCTGTAAAGAAAATGAATTTTTGCGTTACTGATTTCGCATGCGCAATAAAAAAGATACAAAAAAAATGAATAATCATATAAGTAAATATTTTTTAAATAATAAATCAATCGTTAATGTTTTCTATTTATTATATTATCGATTTATTATATTTGAATATATTTATTTACTTTCTTAATGTTGTTCATTATACAATATAGTTTAGGCGCATTCATAAATCGATAAAGAAAGAAACTTACGATAATAAGGTGTTCTTAGAGAAAATCTATCCTAATTCGTTATTTGACCTACGAGAGTTACTAAAGAAAAACTTGTTTGAAAACTCTGCTTTGCCGTTGAGAAAAGCCTTGAAATAGCTGTTCTTATTTCTTATACGTGAGCGTTCGACATAATGACCTGAAATTGATGTATTAAAGAGCGATGATGTCCATGGCATGCATTGCAATTTTGTCTTTAATGGTAATTTTGCAGTGGATGTGGCTCAAGATGATTACTCGAGCTGTGCTCTCGGGATAATGAATTATAATAATTATTAGATAATGTTAGCGGAAATTTGGTATAAGCATGCTGTTTTATAAGAAAAATAATTTATGAATAAAATGATAATTTAAATAATATTAAACAATAGGGATTTACCGATACAAAAAGTTATTAAATTTAATTCAAACAAGTAACTTACACGTAGAGAAAGATAACAAGGAAGGTCTTCTTACAGTTGATCAATGTAGTTGAATATATATACATGCACACGATTATGCATTTAATTTATTAATTTTTTTTTTTTAAATTGTAGGGAAGTCTTTTAATAATTGTATAACTTTCTTGATCCTTTTATAAAAATTAAATTAAAATTTAGTTTAATATTTAAAAGGAAGCATTATAAATCGGATAAAACGGATACATTATAAATAATATTTAATATTTGATTTATCATTCTGTGAATGTATGCATCTATTAATTAAAGTTGACGGTACTTATCGCAAAAAATTTGGTTATAGGTGAATTTGAAAATTATTTTCTTAATGTCCGTAAATATTATTGATTCCTTCACTACCAATAAATATATTGTGAAATAATATGATTAACAAAATATTTAATATCAAGGAATTTTAAATAAATTTTGTTTTTTTTTTAAAATAAGATTGTAGTGTAAATAAAAATATTTTTAAAGTGAAAATTTTTATTAGTAGTATTTGGATTCATTTTATTAGTAGATAAATTTTTATTACAAGTATTTTTATTAGTAGTCGATTTGAAACGAAATTTTAATTAACATTCAAAATAATTGTTATTTGATTGTAATTGGCATTTGTTTGCGCACGTCGATTTTCTATACCAAATATAGATACTTTTATGTTGTTGGCACACGAGCGTAAAATCTTCTAACCACTTGCTTAAAAGTCTTCCGCCATTTTTGCGATTGAACTGTGGTGTAACGTGAGTCGCAGATCAAATCTACCCATGAGTGCAAACTTAAACTCATGAGAAAAGTGCAAAATATGTGTATTGAAATAGAAGATTAAGCGCATTAGTGCATGCTTGAATTACCTTTGGAAAATAGAAGAGGTCGAGGTCAAAAATCCGAGTCAACAAATATTTTTAACCATGTACATTATTTATAAAGTAACATGAAATCAAGATAAATAGGGATAGGAATTTGACACTATTTTAATAGCATTTCGCATTTAGTAATTAGTAAAAACAATTTTAAAGAGTATACTAAAAGTAAACAACGTGTTCGTGGAAAGAATCAATGACTGGATATGATTCATTCATAGAACTCTCTACGATCTCTATTAAATATTGGACTTTGCAATCCAACTTCGCATTTCGTCCAAAAATACTGTTACAATGACATATATTATAATGGTTCCAATGAAATCGTTGTTGTAAATTTTTAAAGTAGTGTATTATAGAGGGGTTATGTATAGTGGTATCTACATGCTTTGTTTATTTAAATATAATCTTTATTAATTAAATACTTAAGGATATATATAAAATGCAAGGAATATTTTAAAAATATTTAATTTTGCATAAGTATACACGTATTTGACGTCATCCGCAAGATCCTCTAAGTCTTCATTGAACTATGACGATTACAGTATAGAATACTATTAATAGGATTGGATTATAGAATAATCATAATGGTATATTATAATGATGTACTTCATTAATATACAAGTAAATTATATTGTAAAACTATAGTATGCTTGATAAGTTCGTTTACCACCTACGAATTATTTTTGTGCAAATTGATACAATTTTCAAATAAACTTATATTCATTCGAAGTGGTTACTTTATTATATTTGCTTTCGTACAATATTCAAGCGATTTATACAAATATATTTATACATAATCGTTAATATGATAAATTATTTCTAAAATTGAATCATTTCAATTTTATTAATTTTATTTTACATTAACTTTTACATTATTTTACAATTTTCCATTAACTTTATTTAATTGTTAACTTTATTATAAAATTTACATTTACAATTTATGGATAATGAAGTTTTAAGAAAATGTCTCTACACTGATTGAACCGAGAAAGAAAAATAAAATTAGTGGAGATAAGTTTTGAATATTAATATTTGCAATTTAAAGAATTACGAATCAAATAGTAAGTATATTAAAAAAAAATTATTTAAAACATGTTTACACTAATGATATGATAATGATAATTTAACATTATTCATAAAAGCAATGGTCTGTTAACATTAAACATTAATTTAGTTAATTAGCAATTTATTTCTTGTAAAATTTTAATTAAGTTTTCTATGATATATTCTACAAATATATTTTTGCATATCTTCGTCATCTACATATACATCTGCGACGATAAAAATATCAAATATTTATTAATTATTGATTCATTGATGTAATTATATAATTATCTGCTATCTGATACGTAATATGGATAAAATATGAGAAGGTGCCATTTTGTAAAATCTTATAATCGTTAAATTATGTTTAGGAAATCAGAGTGAATACATTCATGTTAAAGTGAGCTGAAAAAATCAATGAATAATATTTAATACTACAATTTTAATAGATAAATTTTATTTTTTAGCGAAATTCTCTCAAATCAAATACAATATTAATAATTTATAAATTGATTTAATTCGTTAAGCTTCATTGGTTATAGACCGTTTATAGATTATTATTATATCATAAAAAAGGCCAATAAAAGTAAAATTTTTAATGCAGTTTCCTAAAATGATATTGTATGCGTTACACAGTACTTTTGTTTGGTATAAAATTATATATATAATGCACATCATATTTATTTTTACGTTTAAATAGATATTCATTTTATTATTCATATTTTAATCAGAAGCCTTTATAAATATCATTAAAAATAGTCAATATGATTGAAAGTTTATAAATGCGATCGTATAAATTGATATAATACCTTGCATGTAAAATTATAAATTAGCTCGACTGAATCTATACTTTCAGTTTGTTTATTATACATTAGATATAATTATAGAGTAGATTTCAGCGCAATCGATATTCTTTGCAAAATGTAAAGTAAATATATAAATATAGGTATTATAAAGAAATAATGATTAGAAAATTTTATTTTATTTCAAAATTAGTACTTAATTTCTAAAGTACAAGATGTGAGGGTCAATAATTTGATTAATAGTAGCTTTTTTCGTGGCATGATCTATCAACCGGTAGTTTTTGGTAACGGAAGATCTAGTAGGTGGCGGCACTAGCCCAAAGTGGGCTAATTTATCTGGTCACCAATCACTCCGCGGTACTCGTGAAGACGTCGGCGACGACGACGTCGCACGTACTCCCTTGTGCGCGGTTAACTTCATTTTTTTCGTGCTCGCCTTCCATACGTACCTGCAACGAAAAGGCCTCAAGATTTTGCTCCACGCAAGTGAAACGAGGAGGCGAGTAGCGAGTATCAGGGGAATTATCAGACGACATTTTATAATCGACGAAAAATGTTTGCGGTACAGTAGAAAAAACCAGCGATCACGTGATCGCGTGCCGTGCCTTTTTTGTTAGATTGAATTTCATTTGTTCTTTCTTTCTTACACTTTTAAATGGTTATTATTTATTTGCAGAGTGTTGTCAGGAGTGTCACGAGGCGTTCGTTCTCAACGTCCAGATGGGCAGCTGCACAGCAGGTTATTTTCTTTTTTTTCATATAGCTGTACACGACTTTTCTGCTCGTGGACAGAAACACATAACCTCCAGCTGCAAACTTATGTGGTCCCCTCATTTTATTTTATACTGTAGATTTTTTAATTTACGTAGGATTTTAAGTCGGATCTTATGAATTATTAATAAAATATTTTGTCCAGTGTATTTAATAGCTTTTTTAACTTGACGGTCATTTATTATTTTATTCTAAATGCTTTTTATTGAAGGGCGTTGAAAGGTCACTTATTTTTACATCATTATTTTTATTTTATGAATGGAAATTATCTTTTTTATTATGCTTAAAAACAAATTTCACTTTGTAATTTAGATACACCTTCTCGCTTTGGTTATTATTTTCATTAAATTGCTTATAAAACGAAATATTGGATTTAATATTATTTAATTACTTTAATTAAAATTATTATGCTGTAGTAATTTTTTTATATTGAACATATGATTACATTTATTTATAAATAACAATATATTTATTATTATTTAAAATGTTCAAATTGAATATTATTATTGGAAGAAATAGATAAAATAAGCAACAATTCGAAAATTTAAATTAGTAATTTCTTAAAATGTTAATTATATCTTTTATTGTTGTTTTAGATGACAGTAAGAGATGCATTAAATTCTGCCATAGATGAAGAGATGCAGAGGGATGATAGAGTTTTTATTATGGGTGAAGAAGTAGCTTTGTATGATGGAGCTTACAAAGTTTCCCGAGGTCTTTTGAAAAAATATGGAGAGAACCGAGTTATTGATACGCCTATTACTGAAGCTGGCTTTTGTGGTATGGCAGTTGGTGCAGCTATGGTAAGATAAAATTTGATTTAAATGTCATTTGAATCATAAAATTTTATTTGGATTTATAAGGAAGTACTCAATACTAGTAGTGGTATTAATAAAATTGAATAGTTTCAATAAATTATTCAATAATATTTAAAAGCAACAGTATTTTACTATTAATTCTATAAAAAAATTAATCAAAAAATTTTATTTTATTGTTTTAGGGTGGCTTAAGACCAATTTGCGAATTTATGACATTTAATTTTGCAATGCAAGCAATTGATCAAATAATTAATTCTGCTGCCAAAACCTATTATATGTCTGCAGGGAAAATTAATGTTCCCATAGTTTTTCGTGGACCAAATGGGGCAGCCGCTGGTGTAGCAGCTCAACATTCACAATGCTATGGTGCTTGGTTTGCTCATTGTCCAGGTTTAAAGGTATTATTAGTATTTACTAAATAAATATAAATACCGTGACTGAAGAATATAATAAATATTTGTAATTTTAAGGTTGTCTCTCCATACAATAGCGAAGATTGTAAGGGTTTACTTAAGGCTGCCATTCGAGATCCTGATCCAGTTGTATTTTTAGAGAATGAACTACTTTATGGTGTTCAGTATCCTATGTCTGATGAAGCACTAACAAAAGATTTCGTCCTGCCTATTGGAAAGGCAAAAGTTGAACGTGTTGGTAAGCATATAACACTGGTAGCACATTCCAAAGCAGTTGAATTAGCACTGGAAGCTGCTAATGAATTGGCTGGTAAGGGTATAGAAGCAGAAGTTATAAATCTTAGATCATTAAGGCCACTTGACATGGATACTATTGCTCAATCAGTTGTTAAAACTAATCATCTTATTAGTATTGAGCAAGGTTGGCCTCAATGTGGTATTGGTGCTGAAATTTCTGCAAGAATTATGGAAAGTAAGTAAATTGAATATTTTTAATGTTTGAAACCAGATAATTGTAATTATTGTTAAATTAGATACTTAAATTACATTTGAACAAATTTTTGCATTACTATTTCTGAAATACTTAAAAAAATGAGTATTATTAATATAATTGCTATAGTAGCTGTTACCAATAAAAAAAGAAATGAAATAATAAATTGAAATTAAAATAACTAATAATGAAATATTTATTTTTTGTATTTGAAGTTCAACTCTATGTACATAATTTATATAAATAAATGTTACATTTCAGGTGAAGCCTTTTATTATCTCGAATCGCCAGTAATTCGTATAACAGGTGTAGATACACCTATGCCTTACGCTAAAAGCTTAGAACAAAAAGCATTGCCAGTACCATCAGATATAGTTGATGTGACAAACAGATTACTTGGACTTTCACAGTAATCATAATATGGTGCAATTTTAGGAACAATCATCCTTCATTATTTTAAACTCACCCCTTTATTTGAAATCAATCCTTTTAATTAATTCTTTAGATACGTTTTATTCCTTGTGTTTTTATCCACAAATCACTTGTGTCTTCTACAGCCTTGTACAAACTTAATAATCAACAAATGAAGAGACTAATCGTTCAAATAACGAACGTTTTTAGAACTATTTTTAATTTATGTAACAAATAATAGATCAACTAGACATGGTATCCTTTACAGGATGTCAATATTATAAATTTTATTTTTAAGTAATTTGGTCATTTGATATTAAAATTGATCAACATTACTTGACCAATATTTACAAACTGAATGTTCCTTTAGCAGTAAAAGAGGTTTTAATAGTTTACATGTCAAGTACTCTAATGATTATTCAATTATATCAACGAAAGTTCAAATTATATTAAATTTCAAACGTATTATTTTTTGAATATGTAATAGAATTTCTTATTGAAATAAGTATTTTTTAAAATAATACAGTGAGAATATTTTCATTTATCAATAATCGTTGTAAAAATGAATAAAACTATCGAAACGGACAACGCAATGCAACATCATGCTGCACTTGTTTAATAATTATTTATTAAAGAAAAGAATAAATTGTAATATACATATCTTAAGTATTATATTTAATTATTTATTATAATCCTTTAAATTATAAGGTTTCTACGGTTTCCTTTTCCTCGTCTATTTTATCCGTATCTTTTAGTCATGTATGATACATACGCAACAAACAACTTGTCAAGACTTTCATATAACGATCAAAAGCATCTCTCAATTCGTTTTCTCTGTTAAAGAAAAATTTTATAATAAATAATTTGTTTTTCAATTTAAATTATAAATAGACAAACACAAAAGTGATATTGTAGTTATTATTATTTAAAATGTATTTACTATAGTTTTATATATAAGTACGATTTAATTGAAAAGAATAATTATCTTTCCATAATATTGATAATTTGAGTTCCATGATTAATCATTTTCGCTTTAAGAAGTTAAATTTTTATAATATAAAAGTATTGAATCTTTAATACCTTAAAACATCCATATCAAGAGCACATTGAGTAAATGTTCCAAGAAAATTTCGAAGATCAGTATGTGACCAATTGACTTGACGCCATGGTTCAATGCATCTCTCTACTAATTCAAGGAAAAAAAATCTTAATTCTCTAGTACGGTGTAAATTACAAGCAATACCAATTATAGCTCTTGAATAAGTTCTGAAGTTTAAATCTAATTCTTGATATATTCGTTCTAATAACATTGGCTTTAATTTTATGCAAACTAAACTGAAATTAATACGAATTAATTAATTAAAGTATAAAATACTGTAAAATGTATGAAAATATAAAATTAGTATAAATTAATTTAAATAGTACTTACTGTTTATGATGCTTTTCATTTTCTAAGAGAATTCTACATTCTGGTAATTCAAGAAGAAATTCTCTATCAAGATCTGTATCAAAATACTCCGAACCTGTGAATTGGTACGTCCAAAGTGACATCATACAATTAGCACAGTGATATAGATCAGGGAAAGTCAAAAATTGTAACTTTCTTTTATTCATCTCAAATCGAAGACATATGATAAATACTACAGCAGCGTATCTCCTATGAAATAAAAGAATATTGATAATAATAAATAGCTATTACATAGTATTTTTGATACATACTTAGCTAATTCTTCGGGAAGTAAAAAATGCTGCTTAATATTTGTGACTAACGAACCAGGTAGGTCCTCTACAGCTTTAAATACTCTTTTTACATTGTCAAATTGTCTACGACAACTCTTTAAACTAACTCCAGTCTTTTCTCCAACTTCTTCTATATCTTTTCTATTTTTCGAAGTAAGTTTTTTACCAACGAGTTCTCTAGCTACATTATCATTAAATTCATAATACCTAACAATTTAATATACAAATGAACTTCATACAAATTTATAATATTAATACATATTAATTAATTGAAAAATACTAAGAGATATATAAAAAGAATTCCTACATTTCAATTAACATTTGACTAGTTTGTGGTTCAATTTGAAATGCTAACTGTTCGCTAGCAAGTTTAGTTGGTGAATGCAATAGCTTCTCAAGAAGTGAATAAGTACGATAATGGTCCAAAATATCTGAAGCAACCAATTCAACTGGTGCATTTGTTTGTTGACAAATTCCTCTTTGCTGCAAAATGCTAACTGCATCGCTGGCTGTTTTTCAATTAAATGGATTAAAATTCTTTATGAATTCATAATTAAAAAAAATGTAAAAAATATCTATTTTAATGAGCTAAATATTATAGTGATTAAGCATATTATTATGTTTTAAAAATATTATAATCAACTCACATGAATAACCATCAACCCAAAGTTGATAAACCTCAGGATCGACAAGCGTATAATTACTAATAAATACATCAACTTCCGAGAGCATGATTAGGTTAAGGTTTGCTACTTTATACGTATTTCAGTGAAATTTCTTTTATTAAATGCATTGTACTTATTAAATTGTAACCATAACACAATTTTGAGAATCCTGAGCATGAATTTAGAGAATACCGTTTCAAATAAATTATTATTTCAGTAAGTATATTATTTATTGATTTGAACGTACTCAAAACTCATTTGCAAAATGTACAGCAGACGCGATAGTTTTCCTATTGCGCGCGTTTCAAGGTAAGTTATTTAAAGTTTCAGGATAAAAATATCCATATACTAGACGTTCATGCTTTTAAGATTATCTCATATTTAAATATGTTGTTGAACCAAGGATAATAATAAATTTGAGTAATAATTCGATTTTTTATACAGAAATATCTGAAGAATTCATGAATGTTGTGCTTAAGAATTTGTGTGTCTATACTAGTATTGTAATTTTTTTCGAATGACAGTTAATTTGCAATAAAAGTTTTTCAAAGGTACGTTATTTAATTAAATTATTATTTAATTTTATTTTTTATACATATAGGTATAAATATATACAATAGGTAATATATATATATATATATATATATATATATATATATTCTACTGAAAAATAACAACTTTAATTATACATATTTATACAAATAGCTAGAAATCCTGTCTGAAATACCTTTTTCATCGCACTTATGAAATTTCATTGTTTTTTTAATAGAAGCAATAATAGTAAAGTAGTTTTGATAGTAGAATAGTATTATAATGTAATTTTACTATATACTAATAGAAATACTGGACCGTTTCGTTTTAGATTACCATGTCTATCTCAAACGACAACTAAGTGAGTGCGATGACTATTGTACCGATAATAATTCCAATGCATTGTGCGAATCTTGTGATAATGATTAATGCATTCCATTTACCACAAGATAACAAAGGTTGAGATTACAGTGGTTCATTTTGCACACTATTGATGATGTTTAAAAAAATTAAAACAATGATAATATATGAAGTGGCTTATTCTATCGATATTAAATTACCCAATATAACAATGTACATATTTTTTGCGATTAAAACTTGGTTTCATTATCATACAAAGTTTATTTATCAAAATTTCATCATTATTTTAAATAAAATAAAGCATTATATTTACTTTAAAATAGTTTATCTTTTTATTCAAGTGATACAGTAATTGTATAAATGTGTCTACCGACTGTGAATTGTTAAGCTTTGTAAGGTCACTACGATGTTACGTGGTTCTATACATAACTATTTCAGCATAGTATTTTATCTCTGTTCAAGCATTATTTACATTTTTTCACTACAATCTCATGCTTAATTAAAGTAATCATTGGACTTTGGAATAATGAGTTTGCAATATGAATAAAATTTCAAGTGATATTTAGAAATTTTATGACACGCTAATTCCAGATATTTCTTAAACTTTTACCGTTAAACTTCAATAATATGATTAGATATTTATTACTGATATTAAAATATACAATATATTGAGAATATTAGATAATATTTTTAAAACTATCTTATTGAACTTTTGCAAAAATTTCAGCAGTGAATAATAAAAAATGATAACATTAAATACATTTTTCATATATTTTTTTATTTTTATTTATATTTATTTTTTTGTACATTATATTTTTAAAAATAAGTGAAGTAATTTAACAATATTTAATTCTCCACACTAATTTAATTGGCTATTTTAATTGATAAATACTTATTAACTAGAATTCACTTATAGTGATATAATTATTTTTATCAAACAATTGCAGAAATTGCACTTTTGCTCATAAGACTTACGAACCCATCTTGAGCGATTGTAAAAGCACCACTACTATTATCATACATTACATATTACATACACGAAACATACATTTTTAAATAATCGGTTATTTTCATTGTATTGCCTAAGCTTACAAATTCAAACTGAGCTTTATTAGTAACGATATTCTTTTCATTAATCGTGATTATGACGTACGAAAAATTTGTTCTAGTTGCATGGTTTTCCCCGTGAAAAAAATTTATGAAAAAAACTATTTTTTTTTTCATTGAACAATGCTATATCACGACGAAGAACAAATGAAATGAAATTATAATAGTACATACAGGGCGTTAAAAAAATGGATGCTATAGGAGGATACAAAATGCTCGCATTTCTAGCCAGTAAAATAAACATCAATTATTCTCATCTTACATGCGTACATTCATTCGCTATTTTAAGTGAAACACTATTTATTGACAATCTGCACTGTTAGACTTTACCACTAACTCTACTATTAAAGTAACTTCATTACTTGAGACGTGTAGCTCATCAAATTCTTTAAATAGTGAATCCAATGGCGCAGTAAATTATTATACGCTTTCGAAACTAACTATAATAATAAAATAAACTTCATTTCTAGGTAAATATACATTTTTAAGTAATACAAATAATTATATTAAATAATAAAGAATTTTTAGGAATAAAAAGTTGCAAATTTATAAACAGATATTTTTTACAGATAAATTTTTTGCGATATGTATCAGTATAGATGATATTGAATTAGTCGATACACAATTATGTAAGTGAGAAGGTGATCAATTATGACGACTAGAATTCTTAATTTACAGAAGATTGTAAATAGCTGCATCGTCATACAAAGTATATGTATACATATTATTATTTACATTATATACAATTGTATATGATTGTTGATATTTATTTATTGATCACATAGAATCACATCCACCCAGAATTGCGTACACACACATAGATATTTACGCGCGCACACATAGATATTCACACGCACATATATATACAAAGGTTTTAAAATAGAGGAAATTAAATATTATATATTTGTACATGGTCAAACATGATTTTAAATGCTAATAAAATGAATTTTTTTAAATGTTTACGTTTGTTTCTTAAAAAAAAAGCAAAAAACAAAAATTTAGATTACTACAAATAACATTTACTGCAAATTATTATAACATAAATAATATTGTCACATTTAATGACGAATATTTATATTTTATATTACGATTATTATTAAAATATATTATTCAAAGTTTTATTGACACATTAAATATAAAAATTCATCTTATGTGGATTCAAAAAAAATACTGATTTGGTTCGGGACACAGGAAATTTATCAATGATTTTCTTCTTTAAATCATTAACAAAATTTTCAAACAGTAAAATTTATTGCCTTTATATACATATGATTAGAACATGATAGGAGAATAATATTTATAGTAATAGTATATTGATTTTGTAAAATGTTAATAGCATTATAGATAATCATTGATAATTTCTATGAATGTAAGCGAACTGTTATTTGTTATTTGAGTATATATATGTCCCTTTCATTTGTTCAATTATCTACATGTATCAAGAATGTGTAAATGTAATCTTGAAAATGGTTTATGAATGAAAGCAAATAAAAAAATTAAAAAAATGAGAAATCATGAAAATGAATTCCTCTACAGTGTAACCTTGCTCATGTATTCTTACAGGAAGAGACTAAACATTCAAAAATATATTACAGCAAACATCATCAGTAATCGAATAAAGTATAATAATTTATATTGTATTTAAAAATTTATAGTATACTTTTCATATTTAATATTTCTAATTTTATCTTTAATAATATAGTATCAATTCCAATTTCAACAATTTTTATTTATAATTTAATAAATGTAGAATAATAATTTTATATTATTCTGAAGTATAAAATAAATGTCAAAAGTTATAAATTGTTACTAATAGTCAAAGTGACGTTTAAGAAAATATTTGTAAATTAGCCGGACTTTAAAGTAATAAAGTTGCTCTAACATGAAAGAAACTCAGATATGTAATCGTAATTATTGACTTACAATGTATTCTTATTGATTCATTATTTTCAGTCTCCCTTAAATGCAAATGCGCCTAAGTAAAACAAAAAACTAATTCCACGAGCTCCCATAAGAGGATTAAGAAAGAAACAAGGCATTATTCTTAACGATATTCAGAGGATAAATTTTAGAAGCTCCGGTACATTTTAGCTGATCGTAGTGCGTTTGGATGCTTGGATTACATGCAACCGCAAGCTTCGACGACCATATTTGGCAAAGTTTTTTGCGTAATAGTGTTGTTTGAGTCGACATATAATAGCTGAATGGATGATAGTTGCGTTGGCGAGCAGCAAGGAACTATTTCGTTTCGACGGTGAAGGGCTTTGCCCCGTGCTAACAGCCTCTGTAAAAGCAATTAAATACAATTATTTTTTTATCTTTTGATCTTCTTAAATTTATCTTCTGCTATGAGCACATAAATTTCAGTTAATTTTTAAGATGCTTTGAATAATATAAGGATAAAACACATAAAGAAATTTTAAATTTTAAATAAAAAAAAGAGCGTAAAATGAACGCAATAAGTGCCATATGCATGCTATGCAAAAATGTGTGTCTATATGTATGGGAGAGATAGATAGATTAATAGAAAGATAGAAAGAGAATGAGAGAGAGAGAGAGAGAGAGAGAGAAAGAGAGAATGAGAGACAGAGGGAGAGAGATGAAATGAGAATGAACATTGAGAATACGTGGGATTGAAGTAGACAAATAATGAAAATCAAGGTGCAATGGCATATGAACGAAGTCCTGCGGAATGACTATATAAGGACTGAAAAAAGACTCTAGAATGAAATTATATAGTAATACGGAATAATCAAAAATCGATATTAGGTAAATAATTCCGAAGAAAATGGATTTCTGTAACAGATTGAAAATTAGAAGAATTTACTATATAATTAGGAGATTGGTTATCGCTATGGAAATCATAGCGAGCATATGACGTTATTTTCTTTGATGCACCGGAAGTTCGGACATTATATGAATTCTATTATATAAATTTGAGTAATTTCTCTCTCTCTCTCTCTCTATCTCTCTCCCTTCATTATCACTGATTAAAACTTCGAGTCGTGCAAAAGATGTTGATTTATTAGAATTTTTGAATTCGTGTAATTAAAATTAAATAAAATTTAATGTAAAAAAGTTACTTAAGCTAGTTTTTAGTTAATATAGAGAACATTGATTAAAAGGCAATATGAATAATCGTATGTAATGTGCATTGTCATTCTATTGTATATTTAAACAAATGTATATTTGAGATTGAATCAGTTAAGGATAGGATACTAATTATATCATCATACACATATTTCCTGTACATTGTTCAAAGAATTCCAAGCTCATCGTGGATAGGTTGAAAAGAGGTTCGAGTATATATTGCTAAATGAAGAATTAATTGAATAATTTTTTTATGTTCGTTACACTAATGTCTACGATCAAAATTCTCTACGACTATCATATGAGAATTTTTTATAAAAGTATTTATAAAAATATATATTTATTTATTATTTTTTTTTTTACAAAAAAAGAAGATTATCATACAAGTATATATAAATGTAAGCGTTTCAATTCATTAAAATTAAAAATGATTAATTTTGTTATAATTTTTATTTTTGTAAAAAAAAATCCAACTTAATTACCAACTCGAAAAACTATGTTCATAAAATTAAGCAGAAAATTCGAAAATGTAAAAATAATATGAGAAAGCTATATAACAATACAAGAAGGAAAAATATTTTAATTTAAAATTTTATCAAAAGACATTCAATATATATATATATATATATATATATATATATATATATAAATAATACCTTTTGAAACTTTTTATCATTTTAATGAATGAAATAAATTACTAAAAGAAATAATTGGAATTTATTACTTTATAGGAATATACACTATATATACCTAAGCAATATGCTGGTAATATTGATAAAAAGTTACAATAACGGGTGAAAATTTACATTTTAACATAATTGCGTAATTTACGTAATCTCTCTATATGCAGATATCATAAAATCAGTGAATAAATTATGTTTTCGCTTTTATATAACAAAACTAAGATATTAACAAAAATATGAGAAAACTAGAGTGCAGACGACGAAAAGTCGCTTTTCATCTTAAAATCGATTCAGTATATTCCAACTAAGAACAATGCCTAGGTGACATAACGCACTCATATGCAGAATGATTTTAAACGTACGAAGAATGTCATTCCTGTTAGCTTTTGGAAACTAAACTCAGATCCAACCATCCGGATTACCTTCTAGAGACGAAAACTAGCGACATTGAATTTCCGTTATTATGCGACAATATTGTCCCTGTTCTTACATCACACAATACAGCATTGCCAGAGCATCTCATTTCATTAATCGCCTGGGAACGTGGCACATGCCAAAATGGTCAGGGACAACATTAAAGTCTAGGAGGATTGCAATTTCCGAGTTACGCGTATGTACGTAGTTGTACTCAAAAGACCGGAAGAAGCAACGCTGTGTTTTATATTTATTCTAGTCATTCATATATTTATGACAAATATACTTACGGATATGGAATTTTTTAAGCCATTTGTGAAAAATTGTTATGGCTCTTGATTAGATGTATGCAGTTTCTTTTATTTTATGCCTGTTACATTTATATCTATCATTTTACAATGTCTGTTGTTGCGGAAACGATAAATATGCCAAGTTATTAGAATAATTTATACAGATGATATTAAAACTTATTTCATTAAGCTTAATTATCTTTAAAGATTGTTGCAAAATATTCGGACTCGTAATATTTGTTATTGAATCAAGTGAAGCCAAAAAAAGTATTTTAAACACAAATGATAATGACAATTTCCATTTTTACTTTATTAATATTTTTATTTATATTTATAAAATAATAAATGTAATATCAATTAATATTTTTTTAATCCGTAATATATATATATATATATATCTTTCATGAAAGTTGAATAAAAATTTCAAATCTTTAAGTTAAGTTATAGTTTGTAAAGTAGTGTAATGGAGTAAATATATATATTTTTTAAGTTATTCGAAAAAATATAAATTTTTTTTTATTATTATTGATATAATATTATGTTTTCTTTATCGTGAATATAATATATATTGATGTAGGAATTTATTGTTTTATTCCGAAACTATACTTTTCTTATTCAAAGACCAAATTATCGATAGCATTAGCTATCTTTCTTTATGAGAAAAATAATTGCTTATATAATTTAACAAATATAATGTTTATACAAGTCATGCAAATATTTTTAAATATAATCTAATATAATATCCATTTATTATTATTATAATTTTGTATAAAATATATTTGTTTGAGTTTGACGGCGCCGTAATAATAAAAATTATAATCGAAGAATTAATCATTAATTATTTAATTAGTTTAGTGTAATTTAATATCGAGTATTAATTAAACAAGGGATACAAAATGCAATTAATTTGGTAAATTCCAATGTGTAAATGACTAAATTACTTGTGTAAATATGTTCGTGCCGTGTGTGTAAACAAGCAAATACACGTGACTCATTTGTAATTGTCAATCAAAACACAAAACATAAATATAATAGCATTATGGAATATCTTTGTAATCAATTAAACTTATTATTGGTAATGATCATATCTATATAAATCAGTGATGGTGATAATCAGTGACCCGAAATTATTCGAGAATGAATTCATCTATATATTGTAGTTATTTTTTGTAGAAAGCGATAGATTTAAAGTTTTAGAAAAGTGAAAGCAATATTATTCTAAAGGATCATTAGAATATTTTTTATAATTTTACGTACATTCAGAATAACAATACAAGAGTTATCTTATTTACATTAGCTTAATACTTAAGTTAAATATATCGTATAACGCGTCTCTAATTGCGATTAAAGGTAATTTAACAATGTATTTTTTTCGACAAAATTTTGTGAACTAATTGTGAAAATGAATTTATTTTATATAATCCAGCGGTTTAATCAAATAAATAATAATTTAATCAAATATTCACAATAAATATGTTATAATATCACAATAAATATCGTATCGTAGATTTTCTCAATGAATTATAATAATCTAAGATATTGTAGTTATTCCTACCGAATGAAAGTAGCAGAGTTAAATTTTATACTATTTTGTAGATTATAATAAGAATAATAAACCACAATTATTTCAAAATTTAGCACTAAAATATAAATTATGTATGTAAATAAAAATTGAATATCACTATTAAATCAATATTAAATATAGAGATATTGTTTGTAATTAACTAAATATAGCACGGCTCCTACTAGTTTTGATAATTTAATATCGATTGATTATAAGAAAATTATTCATTTTAATGAATGAGAAACAAAACCATTTTATAATATAGACATACATATATATAACACATATGATTTAGTAAGCGTATGATTCTATTGATTAAAGAATATTAATTAAATAATATGTGCTGTCACTGTTAGAAAAAAATTACATAAAATAATAGAAATATGCGAATAATCAGTTATATAATCACAAGCTATCATCATGTTGCAAAAATAAGAATATTGGGTACATGTACATATAAACACAAAAATATGTCTATAAAATATACTGAAATAGTTAATGCATACTTAAGTGGAAATAAACTTCTTTTATACGTAAAAGAAAAATATTGAAGAGATAAATATTAATATAGATAAAAAATAAAGATAAATATAAAGAGATAAAAATAAAAAAAAAATAAAAGAAAAAAACAATTGAAACAAAAAAAGATAAAAAGTAAAAAAGATTAATATTATTAGTTTAAAATCGTTAGATCAAATTGTCAATCATTTTTAGCTCGTCATTTACCTCTATCTTAATTACACCAGTATTCGCACGGTATCGCCGTAATATTAAAGAAGGCTCCACCTACCCGAATAACGTCGTTATGGTGTGTGCCGCTCATGGTGATGGATACAGCAGTGGAGCAGGAACCCCGGCAGAAGTAGGCGTGGTAGCCACTTGGGTGTAATATCCAATCGCTCCAGCCGATGTCCTCGAAGCTAATGTATAATTCGTCCCTGCAGCACTCCTTCATGTTCGGTTGGCAGTTTGAGTTTCTTTTGGACCTGTATCGTTGGGGCTTCGGAGCCGTCTGTATCACGAGGAAGGGCTTTAGTCGGCCCTCCATCGACACCGGTCCCGTGCTCCGCTCGATGGTACACGTGCTGCAAGCGATCTGGATCGAATGGTTCAGACGTTGCTTTTCCACCCATTTGCGCACCGCGAAGCCGACGTCCGCCTTCACCCAGCCTTCTATAATTATTATTTGTTGTTGTTAAGTAGAGACGATGGTAATTGAGGGCTGATTGAGGAGTTTCGAGAAATTATCCTGTCGCTTGGGTCTAGCATTCAGGATGCTGACTTCAAAATCAGCTGTGCACTTTCCACTTTATTGCGAAAGATCGAAATTCTTTATTAGCCTAATATGAGAAAGAGTGCGATTTTATATTTTAAAGTAAATATAAAACATAAAAGCACGTACACATAATTATAAATAAAGTTGAAATAAAAGAAAAAAGAGCTTTAATAGACGGTGAATCGCGGCCTGTAAAATTGCACACGCAACACAAAAATAATTGCTTGAAAATAATGAAAATCATAGATTTAGAGTTTAAAAAGGAACGAAAATTGAAAAGATCGTTACTTAATATATAATGTATTGTAAACACTCCGTCAAGTGGTTATTTTACAATGCATACGTATAGGGCTAAATAAATCGGCTCCGAAAAACTCTTAGTGTATTTTCTATATTTTGGAACTATTTTGTGCATATTTGTTTAGAATTCTAATTATGTAGAATAAAAAATTTTTAGTTTAAAGAACAGATAATTTCTTTAATATTTCTCGGATATAAATAATTTCAATATCTACCACACAATTATATTTTTATACAATGACAATGCATATAAAAGCTTTGATAATATAAAAAAATAAGCACAAAGATTAACACATATCACTTTCTATTCACGTGCTTCGACAATTATTAATTTGGCGATGACTGTACTTTGATTTAAAATCACAATTTTATATAAAGAAATCATTAAAACCATTTTTATCTATTTTTTAATAGCATTTTCTAATATGACATATCTCTATATTTTACTTATCGTATAAAGTGGAAAATTAAGCGTATATGTATAACATCTTTTACTCCAATGAAACAAAGAAGATAAGATTATAATATTGTGAAATGACAATTCAATAGGAATTTTTAGTAGCTTTTAATGATTGATCGAACAAATTACCACCCCTTTTATTTTTATTATCATTATTATAATCACCATGTTTTCAAAGTCTTCTAATAAAATTTAGATGTCAGATAAAAAATGGAAGTAATATAATATATCACGTGAAATATTACCGATGGAAAATCTAGTAGTATGTTAGTCAAAAAGAAGATAGCAAATGATCGAAGTATGGTTATCGAAATTTATTTCAACAAAACACTCAAATAAAGCGAACGAATGCATTCGTAATTGGATAGATGTAAGGAAAATCGATGCCTCAAATCATGTTCTTATGTCTAATTTAAATATCGAATTATGTCTCAAACCTCCAATTGTAGTCTCAAAGATGGCCATAATGGTATTCTTTTCGAAATTGCCACGCTGATCCCAGTGGTCCAATTCTGAGAGCACAAAAGTTTGATTGAAACTGTCATTTCTGTCTTCCTCCTTGTAAAACCAAAGTTCCGCTGATGTTACATCGACGAATTGCATTTCATTCGGCAGGAAAAACGTGAAGCAAACGGCGGGATTGAAGCCGGTTATATGATTCGAGCTCTGACGACACTTTTTCGAGTGAGGCACGCCTGCAACGGACCCAAGTTTTCACAAGACTATTATCAATTTTTATAGATATAACAATACGAACAGTATACTGATTAATAAATAATTTTCATTTCTATTTATCTTGAGTTAATAACTTAATTAGAATTTCCATCAATTATGTCTTAGTTCATAATTTCGTATATATTTTGATATATGAAATGCTATATTCTTATATAAATGTATATTTGATTGATTAAAAAATATTTTTAGAAATAAAACTGAAGTATTAATTTTTAATTCCAATTTCGTTCAAATTATTCTATTATATATATTAATTGAATGAATCCTCAATATATTATTATTTAAAGAAAGGAAATTTGTTTGTGTAAAAGATACTATAAAAATGAATTTATGAATATTTTCAAAATACTAATATAAAATAACATCATGCATATATAATATTATTAAGAAAATAAAGGATTATTAAAATTAACATATTATAAGCTGACAAAGCTTATTTAATAAATGCCATTATTTAAGCTTCTTGCACTCATTGATAACATAGTACATTGATACATAGATTACACGAATGAGTAAATCTGGATGTAAAATGATCAACAAATGCAAGTTCATCGATATAATTGTTTGGAATTCCGTATAAAAGATGATTAACGGCATCGATTTTCGAAACAATATTCAATGCACTTTCTCATATTATTCTTTAATTATAAGAAAATGCATTCTTCATCGCTCAAAGTATATGCATGATCAAATGACCTCGAACTCTGTGAACTTGCACTATGCTTTGATTTCATAATTCTCTTTAAGAAACGTTACTGTGCGCGTGGCTTCCATAAACATTCAATTATTTTCGTCCATTTCAGATTTGTTATCATATTCAAGTTATATAATCTTTTAAATGATTAATATTGTTATATCACTTTTTATTTCATTAGACAACGAGAAATATAAATAATTATATTGTATATAATATGTAAAATATAAATTATTACATCATTTGTAAAATATTTACAATTTGATTAAATATAATGTGGCAAACTTTTTATGTTTTAGGGGGTATTTTCCCTTTTTCATATACATAATAATATCATTGAATGTATTTAAATTTTCAGGCTACTCTTGTAGAGTTGTATTATTTTAATATTAAGCCAGAGAATTAAAGTGCATGTAAATCAATCAAATTTATCAAAAAAAAATCGGACGATGAAAATAATAAACTTAACACATATATAATAATATTTTTAAATTATTTAATAAATGGCAGTCAGCACGATATTTAATTGGGCTTATTAATTAGGCTAATGGTAAAAGTAATTTACATTAACAAGAATTTCATCATTTTAAATTATTATAATAATTTCACATATAAAAGATATATATATATATCAAAAGTATAAATATTGTTAAAACATTAATTTATTTTTAAAAACTCCTTATTAGATAAATTACAGAAATAAATTTTAAGAAGTTCGTGTATACCGTTTGTTATAGCAAGTCATTCATAATATTGTTTGAGTATCGTGTCTTATTGTATTTTACATATTAAAATACAATCTTTATCTTATTAAATGCTTATTATTTATTCAATAAACAAAATCTTGTATTAATTAGCTATAGCGAAGGAATATTATTAGAACGATGAAAGAAAATTATGGAACATAAGAAACTTCATAATTTTAATAATATCAGCTTATTATATAAAATAAAATACTAACTGATTTAGTATTATGAAAATAATCATCAATAAACTTGCTTGTAGTAAATTTAAAAATAAAATAATAAACTAAACAAATTTCTTTAGAATTTAGATAATTATATTGAAAATCTTTAAAAAAATGTACGTAAAATATTATTTATATAACGTTACTTTGTAAAACTTCATTTACAAACATTCATCAATCCAATCTTTGCACTAACAATATTCGTTTATGTATTGTCGCCGGATTGTCCATCAATCGAAACAATTGTTATAGTAAAAATGTAATTAAATTAATTATCTTTGTTAAAAATATTAACAATTTGAAATTGTGAGTATTTATAATTTAAAGATGACCAGATAAATATTTATTTTTATTAACTCTTTGGCTGAAAGAATTAATTTAATTAAATACAACACAAGCGAGAATCAGTGTAATACAGCAAGTTTCTTATTTCAACGACTGAAAAAATAAAAAAATATTATTTTTGGTGCAATTTTGAGACATAAAAATAATTTAATTTCGCTTTATATCACTTTTTTAATTAATAAAAGTTAGTGTATAATTGAGCAAATTTTATAAAGAAAATTATACTAACTACGCGGTGATTTTCAAAAGTTATGAATAAAAAATATTTTAAGGTTTGAATATAAAATATTATTTGTATAAATAAAACCTAAGCGTTGTTTTCAACAATTTAGTGATGCTACCACATTATTATTGTAGTACAAGTAATTTCTAAAAGTTTCTTATAATTTCACAGAATATGAATATACGATGGGAAATAGGATTGCATCTAAAAAACACACTTGGTTTGATCAGTAATGCACATCCTGAAGTTTTAAATATGCAAGAAGCTCTTTCTATTGAAATAAGCGAATAATAAAAATGAGGCAGGCTTTGGTTGTCAAGTGTACATTTATATAAATATATTATTATATAAATCAATAAATATATAAAAATATTTATTTATTTAAAAATATTATATTATATGTTACTTATTGATAAGTGATTTTAAAACATTATTAGTTAGGTAAAAAAACAGGCTTTAGTAGAAAGCAGGTAAGTTCAAGATTAATATCTAATTAAAAATCTAATTGTATGCATATAATCAACAATATAGTAAATATTTTCTTATATTTATTAATAAACTCACCTTAATATCAAATGCATTTTAATATCATTTTTGTCAATTAATTTTTTTAATTATATTCCTTATGTAACAATAATTAAATAATCATACTAATAATTTTCAACAAATTGTTATTATATATTTATACATACATTTGTATATTGTTATTAATGATAATTTTTTAATCATTGAAAATTTAATAACAAATTACAGTAAAAACCGCCAAATGCTATTAATCTAGTCGTTAAGATACCGAGGTTAAGAAATTTCAATTGAAAAATAGAGGTCAAGGTTTTAACTATTTTAGTTCGATCTTAGAAAATTTTTTTTAATAAATAATAAGAATGATTTAGGTTTATTTAATGAATGTATGTATATCACTAATCCATTTTTAGAATTCTTTCTTTAGTTAAAATTTGAACTTTGTATATAATTATTATTTATATAATAATACACCACATATACACATGCATGTATATACACACTTATATCATACATCACAGGCGGTAACGGTTTATTTGATTAAAACACTTATACTATCTTATTAATTCAAGCTTAATGTTGATAACTAATGTAGAATAAATGAATGATAAATATTATAAAAATAAAGGTAAATATTTTAATTTCTATTTAACATAACTGAAAGCAATATCTACAATCATAAATTTGATTGATAGTAATAAAATTAATACTTTAAAACATTATTTCAGCATTTCAGAAAAGTTATTTATTTAAGATTGATAATAATAATGATATAAAATTTCACAGTTCTTTAATAAAAGATTATTATATGTTATAATAATAAATATTTTAAAAATATATATATATAATAATATTATTATATCTTCCTAATATATTTTACTCTAACAAGTATTAATTTAAAATATAATCTTTCATATACAATATATAATCGATAAATTTAATTAAAATATATAATAAAAAAAGGTGACTAATTATTATTAATTTTGCATAAATTTATTATCTTATAATCCAAAAAAATGAATAGTATTATATATTATAGTATTAAATATTATTTATTTATATAAAAATGAGATTATGAGACTAAACGAGAGAATTAAAAGAATGAATTTACATATTATTTTGCAGACCTAAAATTTATTGTAAGGAGAAAGCCATCACATTAAATCAGAAGCGAATACTTTATATACGTGATTGTAATATAGTTATTTATTATTTATTCAATCATTATGTTTTTAATGTGAATTAATAGTAAACTACACGAATAAAATTGGTTAATTTTTTAATTCGATACACTTAATGATTCAGTTTTTACAAGACTTATAACAAATAGCATTGAAGATAATAGATCATTTAACAAACACAACTAAATTGTATGAAACCAATTACTAATAAATTCATACTAATAAATACATAAAGGACTTGTAAGGGCAATGAATTATTCATAAAAATGGACGTAAAATTACATTATTATTATATTTCTCGTATACTAGACATATTATTTTCTTAACATAAAATCATATAATTTATAATATAACGAATAGATTTCTATTACAGAATAATATGTATGATAAGATCCTTTATTTATTTTAATTTTTTTTCTATATATACATAGTAAATCAACCAACATCATAGATGCACATATTAAATTTTAATATACATCTTCCAATTAATTCAATATGTTCTTTTTAACGATTAGTATATATTCTCCCCTTTTGCAGACATCCCACAAGTTGAAAGTTGTGCAATAGCGTCTTCGCTGGCACGCCCTAATACGAGCCATTAAAAAGTTACGGAAAACTGATATAAGAAGCTTTACACGAGTTTAAGTCAATGATAATGTAAAAAAAAACAATTCAGAAGTCTATACTGAGGCATACTAACTTGGAGTTGAAAAGCTTATTTGAATACCCTATTGCGTTTTCGTATTAAGACATGAAGATAATTTTGATGGTATTATCGATATCGCAATTTTCTTATAATCACTTGAAATGAATTTATATATACCATGCTAAACTCTCACTCGTAGATAAAGTGAATTACTAAGTTTATATTGGCTGTGCTCAAGAAGCATTTTTCTTTGACAAAGGGCAACGCAATTATGTGATATTGGCTTCATGGTCGTGAAATGTTGTGAATAACTCAATTGAACAATACTCAACCGCATACAACTTTTATTAGAACAAACACTGCTGTAATGCATATTAATTGAAATATCAACCACATTTAGTCTTTTGGCATCCGTATGGTAAGCGTATTTCTATTTCGATTATCTCAATACCTGCTTCTTGATTTTATGTGATTTGATTAGATTATTATTTACTTTATACTTGAGCTCCACTATTTCTCAGTTTATGCATTTTTATTTACCAGATGATAGAAAATAATGTTATGTATTCTTATTCGTTTGGTATTTTGTCTGGGATTTGAGTGACTTTAATTTAATATTTTTTACATTTCTCGAACAAAGTCATACGTGTGAAAATATTTGGTCTTTATGATTTAATTTTTCATTCATGAATTAATATTTTGGAATTAAAAATTACGTTTTTTATTAGTGACTTTTTGTGATTTATCATTAATTTTTGTAATTTTATATGTATATATAAATTCAGAAAGATATTTTGATATTTTTAAATGCACTTGATTTTTTTATTATTTTCAACGAATCGTTGTAACAATATTAAAATGGATTTTATATTTTTTCATATTGATTTTTATGAATGAAACATAAATAAAATGTATTACGCAACGTGTAACTGACAATCTTAAGTTGCGACCTCTATGCTACGCTAAAATCAATTTAACAAAAATACTGTCTTACCATCCTTTTAGTGGTTTACTATATATAGCTTATTTATAGCAATTAAGGGTCATATGTGATGTTTACAAGTCTGAATAATAAAAATGTCGTTTAATATTTCTATATCATTAAATATGTATTGTGATGCAGATAAGAATTATGAAAAATGGAAAGTTACATAGAATTTTATGATACAATAATGACTGAATAATCTCTCTCTCTCTCTCTCTCTCTCTCTCTCTCTCTCTCTCTTTCTTTCTTTCTTTCTCTAAGTCATAGATTTCATTTTATATAAAACATGAAGAAGTATGTAGGGTCTAAGACAATTCAGTGAAAATTAGTGATTGTAATTGGATAATGATCAATTAGTTGAAATCAATTATAAATATTTTAATGGAATATTATTTCAATCACAATTCTAAGGATATATAAATTATTTTACATGTAAAAGTTTATAATTAAATAATGTAATAATATGTAATTAATCTCATATTAAAATTAATTGTTTTTAACATAAACTGTACCATTTGCATTAATTAAAAATTTTTATGAATATGCAATTAATCAAAGAATAAACGATAAAAGGGGATTTAATTATGTGATAAAATGCTGCACGCAATAGATAATTGCAATGCGTATTAAATTTAATTATCATAATAATTATGTAGTATTAAATTAATTTTATTTAATTAAAAAATTATAATTTATGTATTATTATGTATGAATTTATATATTAATTTATGTTTTATTATATATGAAATTACATGTTAATCTATGTATTGTTATGAATTTATATGTTAATTTATGTATTAATAAATATTTAATAATTAACAGTTAATCTTATGCTGGTCCCTTGTAGAAATTAAAAGAAATTTAATAAAAATTGGTAGAGCATGAACGTTTTAATTAATAATTATATACTTTTATGTGATAGAGAAAAATTTATTACTTACTTTCATAATATTAAAATTACATGGCATATTTAAATTATAAAAAAATTTTATAAAAATAAATTATTTATGAGGTACATAATAGGATTAATGTTTATAGAATTACTATTGTTTTTAGATAAGTATTATTATATAATAAATTGTCGATACTACATGGTTTCTAAATTGAATAAATAATATATAATTCTTTTATTATATATTTATCATCTATTAATATATTTTTTCTTGTATTTTAATTATATTTTAATTAAAATAAATTATGATTATATATTTGTTATATAATTTTTTTGTTAAATATTTATTAAAATTAGGCGTAAAACAAATGTGAGCTAAAATGAAATTTTTTATATAATTTATAAAAGTATTGTAATTACCTAATAAATCTTGTAGATAAACTTAATTTACAAATTCAACTGTTTCTGTAGATTAGAATTGTTCTGTAGCATATTTTTACATTTCATTAGTTATCGGTGTATTAAAGAGTAAAAAATGTTTGTAAACGCAATAAACATCTACATACGCCGAAAATAATAAAAAAGGCACAAATCAGAATTCGATAAAATTATGAATGTTAATTACTGAATAAATTGATTATATTCTTATATTTATTTTGTGTACTTTATTTTTCGAAATATATTTTTCTCTGCAGAATTTAATTTCGTTTATAAATTTAAAGTGTCATTTTATACATTTTACATCATGAAATTTGATTTCGGATCTTATCATTACCTTCATCCTATTTTTCACTATATAAATCACAAAAGCAAACACAAAATTATAATACTAAAAAAAATGAAATAGGAAAAATTAAAATAGTAAACAAATTTTTTTTAATCTTTCCTATTTCATCCTCTTTAGCATATATTCTCTGTTTTCAATATTTATTGATAATAAAAACATGATTGAATACAAATTGGCGTAGTTTTGTGTAATAAATAATTACTTAGGTATAACACATTTCTATATTTTTAAAACTTAATGAGTTGAATATTGTTTTGTTTTACAATCAATTATTAATCATTGAAATTATCAATATAAATTACTAATTAAATACGAAAAAAATATGTAATTTATATACAATCATTTTTAAGTATTGAAATTAAATTGGTAAGAAAATTAAAATTAAATTTGAAGTAGATTTGAAAGTATAAATTTTTCAACTTTTATGTTGAAAAATTATTAATGCAAGAATTTTTTAAATTTTACTAGATCATAGATTTTTTCATCAGAAGAAAATGAGGTACTAATTCAGAATTTGTTTATATTAGAGGATACGCATTAGAATATCGAGAATTTTCTTATACTTCAGTTTATAACTTAGTAAGAGTATTTAGTAGCGTTACTTAAATATTTTTAATCATAAACCATACAATATTTAAAGCATATGATAAATTCAAACATATACTATAATAGATATTTCCTGTTTATCGTAATGCATCTATACAACATATTACATGCTCATAGAGCGTTTTACAAGCAAGCTTCCACATAAGAAATACAACTTAGAATGTTTTATCAAAGCACAACTACAAAAGCACATTGGCTCACCTTCATTTGGAAAGACTACAATCTGATTAGTCTTGCCATAGAAGCTCTCAGCTGGTATCTGCGGCTCCAAGGGTTCGCCAGGTTTTAACTCTAGTACGTGGCCATTGATCAAAGGCTTGGGCAGTGTAGACAAGGACAGCGACACTTCCGGTGGCTTTTCTAATCTCAGCTTACGCAGTATTTGCTGTTTGACGTACTCAATCCTGAGTTCCGCCAGTATGGGTTCCATATGCGCCACACGATTTTGTGTGCAACCGCTACACTCATTTTCACTCAATGATGGCTTGGACGATGACTCCGTGGACGAATGCATGCTGAGCCACACCGACCTAATGGAACTAGTCATTGAACTCCAAGAGCATAAGGAATCGTTAATTGTCCAAAAGGCAATTAGTGAAATTACAATGACCTTTTTCATTCTCGTCTTTGCGACAGTAAGACTAATTAAGCAAAATGTGGCACTTGCGTATCGTGACTTTTCGTCGCTTTATACTCACAAGCTTCCAATGTCCAATCTCACATAATCAACTCCAATGCAAGATTATCACGTGGTATGACCAGATTTCGATTCTGTTGCAATTGTACAAAATTGTTCGCTCATCCAATCAACCCATCAAGACGTTACGGTTCTTATGTTTGTTCTATTCACAATTATATTTGGAATTTTGACTATTTCTTGTAATCAATAGAAACGCTTCGTATTTTCGGGTTCCAAATCTTCGGGATCTGAATTTACGAGTAGTTGAATCATTATTTCTTGATGAAGGGATAATACTTTTTACGACTACTACTGTTGTGTCGTAGGAATCTCGGTAAACTGCTGGGTAACGATGATGCGTGATCGGGAGTGTGCCAACTGTTACGATACGATGTCGATCTAAGAGCAAGAGAGAAGAACTGAATATACACGGGATTATACACACAACTGTCTTGGATGAGTAGTGCGACCTTTGCACTCTTTGGCAGCTGTTCGGGTGGAACGAGGAAAGAGTAAGAAAGACTGAGTGAGAAGTAGATAGTAGTGAAAAATAGGAAGAGAGAGAGCATGAAAGAATAAGAAAGAGAGAAAGAGAGAGCGAGAAGAAGACGATTGACTGAGAGGGAGGAGACAGGGAAGAAGAGACAAAGAAAGACGTGTGATTGGACGACGGTCGCTACTATAGATAATATCTTCTCACTCATGTTTTTAGCGAGTGAAACACGCGCTACAAACATGCCGCAGAGGCATGATCCTTTATTTAATTTTTTTTTCTATTTATCTATCTTTCTAACATTCTTGATTTTACTATTTTCATTTTACAATAACTTTTAGAACTTCAAACATAAATAATTTAATACGATGATTTAAAACATCATAAGTGTCTTATGAAAGATAGGATTATGAAAAGCAGTATGAAAGTAGTTTTATAATAATTATTAATATAAATACTTAGACTTAAAATTAAAAATTGTTATATTAAAAAAAAAAACAAATTATATAATATTTTTATGAAATATAACAAATAATGGTTATAAATAGATTGAAATTTTACATAATATTTGGAATATGTAACATTTGTATAACCTTAAATTTATAATTGATACAAGATATTATTTAGCACGTACATATATTTATTTCTTATTTCATTAAGAAAAAAAACAAATACGAAAACAATTAATTTTATTTTTACGTTATTAATTTATTTGTTTTTGTAATATGAAATGCAGGAACATAAAATTTTATAAAAGTTATCGTAATAATACATTGTAAGATAAAAAGGGAATTATACTTTTTTTCAAATGCGATTATAAGTCTGCGTCTCATTAAAAGCATCGACATCACAAAATAATAACGTCTTTATTCAATAAATAATATATTTAATAAAATCTAAATTCAACAAAAATCGGTATATGAATCTGAATTAATTAAATATAAAGATATAACTAATAATAAAAATTATTATTATTATTATTATTAAAGAGATTTAGTATAATTATTTAATCTATTATTATAATTCTAGGATCCAAGTACTTATGTACTTTTTTTATTAAAAATCTAACAGATAAAAATTATATGGCATTATTTATAATATTTAGATTGATTAATCATAATAGAAAGATGACAAGTAAGAGTTGTTGTAATAAAATATTGTAAGGTTAACACATCAATATGAAAAATGAAATATATTTAATGAAAAATATAAATATTTATAAAATATATATATAAAAATATATATATTTTTTTAGAACAAAGATAGTTCACACTTCTTTTGCAATAAAAAATTATAAAAATATGAATTGTCCAAAAAACGCAATTGGCCCTACGTTATTATTCTTCGGAAGTTTATGGCTAAATGAAATTAAATATTTGAAGTTATTGTTACTTTTGGTTTTGGCTTCCTTGACCTATTAGACTCGTTTCCAGTAAGGTTATATATTATTTGAGCCTTATCACGCGCTCGAACAATGATTAGTTAAACAAAAAATAAATAAATATTTACGAATATAAGCAAATTCAAGCATTGATACTCGATTCACGATTATTAATAATATTCTTTAATTATGCAAAGGATATAGTAAATCTTAGAAATCAATATAAACTTGAATGATAAGTTTTAAGTATTAAGCTTGAAGAAAATGTGCTAAATTTAAATTTTGTAAAATATGCCCAATAAAAAATGATGATGATGTCTCGACGTGCAGAATGCTTTTTAATAATGAAAGAAAAATAAACAATTGCGAGATAGCATTCTTGCGAACTTCTGCAAATATACAATACATGTACACGTGCTCATTATTATCAATCGTCCAGTCGCGTGTACACATCAGAAGATACACGTTTTAAATTAAATAAATTATCTCTCTATTTTTCTATTTAAACATTTATTGTTCTTATAACTTTCGCTTCATAAATAAAGCATAAGACAATAATGAGGATCGGAGTTTTAAACTGTATAAATATAATAAAACTGTATGAAAATACAATTGAGAAAGGTGTGGCATATATACATAAGGTATGGAATTTAGTAAAAATGATAAAAATCGCTACATTGATAGTATTTTTTTTATTTCTGCGCGGATTATAATTATTATATTATACATGTTTCCTAATAATTAGATAACAATTATAGAATGATTTATTGAATAATTTAAAATAATTGGAAAAATTAATTTATTTTAATGTAAGTTTTAGTTTTAATAATTAGTTTATTTTAATGTTAATTTTAGTAAAGTTGACTCTGCATCAAGGAAAAAACTATTCATTTCGTTTAAATTTAAGTTTAAATTTATAAGTTATAATCTTATTAAGATCTTTTAACTCACTACATAGTCTGTATATAAGTTTGTAAATCTTTCTGAAAGATTAAAATCAGAAGGTTGTATAAGTAGAAAATAAGAAATTATAATTTTATTTTCGACGAAAGAGACCAATATAAATCAGTAATTTCAGCAAAACATTTAAATATTATGAATGATAAATCAACATTAAATATTTAAGTTGATGAACTGCTATTTCTTGTTTTCAATTTATATTAATCATTTATATACTGATTATTAAAAAATTGAGATATTCGAAATTATTTCAAACTAATCAAATTTCAAATCCTTGTACTAATTCAAGTGCTTAATGTTTAAATCCTAGGCTCTAAAAGTACGTATATTGACTTACTAAAAATGTTATTTGCAAACAAAAATTTTTGCAACCGATTATGTGAAAGAATATAAAAGTTATTAATTATTATATTGATAGTTAAATGATAATTAATATATAAAAATATCCTCTATATATTTTTGATATATAATGCAATATTATTAACATTGTATTTATAATATTCATTATATATATATTACATATTCATATTCAATATTCATTATATTCATTATAAAATTGTCTAATCATATTAATATTGTTGGAATTTTTATTTTCGAATTGTCAGGTCAAATAATTTCTTACCTCAGGATTAGCTTTTCAACAATGTCTTGAATTATAATATAATCTTCAATTTTTTATTCTGTATACTAATTGAATTGAGATTAGATTTTCTTTTGTATTTATAATGTTATCTTAATATTAAGATGCACTTATTAAAAGTACATACGTATGTATAAAATTTTAACTATTTTCATAGTTTAATACATTTATTATTAATTTTTATTCACTATTGTAGTTATTTCTCATTTGCAGATTGTTTCCTCAAAATTTTAAAAACCTTTGTATATAAAATTTGTATATATGAATGCAAAATAAAATCCATTCACCCGTGAATTCAATTATGAATTCATAGAACTATAATAACAGATTAAAGCTCACTTAATATCGTTTTGGATTTTTATTATTATAAATATTTAAATTATATGCATTTCCCCCTGTGCCACATAGATGTGATAATATTACTGATTAATTGCAAACAAATTAAAATAATATTATTTTATGGTTTAAAAAATGGCGATTAAAATGATTTAATAATTCTGATATAGATATTTCAACAAATATGTAAATCCTACTAATAAAGAGATATATAAACAAATTTATATCGAGACATATCGAAAAAATTTATGCAGAAAAAGTATTTTTTTATAAATACAAATTTATAAATATTTTGATCTACCAATGATCTTAGACATCAAATATTTTTGACATTTTGCCGTAATTCAATCGCTGGCTAATCTAACGATGTAAAACTCATTTAATTATATAACAATAAATGTTGTAAAGTTAATGAAGTGCCAGAATATCGATATTCAGTAAAGATCGTTTTCCATCAGTACACATTTATTAAATAAGCATTGAAATTGCATGATCAGATATAAATAAAAAATTATAATTATTTATTTGATTCTGAAATTACATATATTGGATAATTTTTAGCTTTTAATTCACGAAAATGGCGCTTTTTTTATGACAAGATGAAATTTCATTTCGTCATTTAAAATAAAAATAGAATAACGAAAAGGTCATCTTTCTTATTTTTTTCGATGCCCCGCTATAATAAATCGTATTTACGCGGACTTGAAGCATCATCATCACGATTCCGGGAACGACGCAATGGAGTCACTGATATCAATTCTGGTTATGTAGGCCCGTGCTTTATAACAGCATCTCTATAATTGTGCACGCATTTTGATCACGTGAGATCAAATTCATATGATGAAACAGCTTTTATTCCAGGTCTATCATGCTGTTGACACGCGGTCTTACCATTTCTTAATTTTATAGCGAACTTATATCTTTTTTTTGCCTGATCATCTCGGTCTTCAGCCTTGCCGCTTTACATCGTTTATTGATATTATTATTATTTCGAATGCGATATTGATTGCGATATTAAATTTATG